TGAGAGCTTCAGCGGGGAGCACCCGCGGGTGTGGGGACCCAGGACTCGGCCAGGCCCCCGCTCCCAGTCCTGGCATCCTCTAGTTTAACCATTTCCTCATTATCTCCTCCTCCCCCACCCCCCAGCTCATTACCTGTCCTGCAAACGAGGAGTTCGAGGCTCAGAGAGGGAAGGACCTGAGATGGGTCCAGACTCCAGATTCCCTGGGGAGCCCTGGAGATGGCCAGAGAGGAGGATCAGTGTTGTGTCCAGAAGGCCAAAGAACAAAGAGTTAGGGAGAGAGAGAAAGGAAGAAAGAGACAGGGACAGAGACCCTGAGTGAGACAGAGGCAGTGAGGGCGTGAGAGAGGGAGGCAGGGAGAGACGGAGAAACCTGCAGGAGAGGCTGAGCCTTGGATGGGAGAGGAGGGGGCCGCCCCAGGGGCCTGAGGGGGACGAGGGCCATCATCTCTTCCTCACCCTCTGCCCGCAGCTTTCCAACTCACCCTCTCCCATAGGGGGGCGCCGCTGCTGCCCCAACCCTGAACCCTGATGCTATGGCTCTGGCTCAGCCTGGCTCGCCCCTTCCCTGCCCGGGCTTGGGTGGTTTTGCTTTTCTACTAGACGGGAGGATGAAGGAGAAGCAGGATGCAGCAGAGGTAGCTGCTTGTGACAATCATAAAGTCTGTCCCAAGAGAGCCAGCAGGGGCTGGGGGTGCTGCCTCCAGGCCCCTCTCTCAGCTTCCCCTCCCCCTGGGTCTCTATTTCCCTCTCTGGGTGTCTATCGCACTCTGTCTGGGTCTCTGTCCCCCTCTCTCTCCCTGGGCCTCTGCCCTTTCTCTGGTCTTTGCCCTCCTGTCCCCCTGGGTTTCTGTCTTTCTCTGTCTGGGCCTCTGTCCCCTGTCTCTCTTGGTCTCTGTCCTTCTCTCTGGATCTCTGTCTCATTTCTTTTTGGTGCTATTCCTCTGAAGTGGTGGTTTGTAACTTTTGTGGGGACAAGTATCCCTTTATGAGACTAGGATGAAAACCACAATCCACCTCCCTGGGAAAAAACACATAAGCACCAAGTCCACAGTTTCCCGTCCAATTTAGGAATTCATAAGTTTCCTGACACCCATTTGTACACCCCCTTGGCAGTCCGAGGACCCCAGAAGATAAAGAGCCCTAATGTAGAAGATGCCGTCCAGAGAATGAATGCCATGTGTCGCTCTCTTCTCCCCCTCGCCCCCTCCGTCACCGGCCTCTTTGCTGTTTCTCAGACACACCAGGCGCACTCCTGCCCCAGGGCCTTTGTACCTGTCCTTCCCGACGCCTGGGACGGTCTTCCCCCACCTGTCCGCATGGGCCTCCCTCACCTTCCTCAGGTCTCTGCTCGGCTGTCACCTCCTCCAAGGGCTTTTCCTGTCCAGCCAATAGAAATCACCCCGTTGTCACACTGCTTTGTTACAGAGCACTTGCCTTCCCGGGCATTGTCTTCTACTTTCACGTTTGTTTTGTTACTCGACTGTCCTCTGTCCCCTACCCTATCCCCAATGGAACGTGAGCGCCTCCAGGCCGAGAAGTTTGTCCTTTGTTGCCTGTTATATCCCAGGACACCGCCCGGCACAGAATAGGTGCTCCTCGGACTGTTGTCGCACAGGCGCGTCTTCCTCATCTGGTGAGAGCGCCGGTCCCCGCGCTCGTCCGGGAATCGCGTGGCAGCCGCGCCTTCTCCCCGGCACCCGCGCGGGCAGGCGCGCGATCCGCCCTCGGTGGGGGAGATTCACCGACGCCCCGAGAGCAGTAAGGGGACTGCAGGCTAAGGGCCTTCCGAAGGCAGGGGGTCAAAGACGGGTAGAGGGACAGAGGGACACACACACACACGCCCCTAAGGCACACACAGTCCAGCAGCCGGACACACCCTGAGACGCTGCCAGGGAGAGGGCGACACACGCAGGCCCAGGACGGAGAGGGGCCGGGGCAGGAAGGGACACTAAGACATGGGTGTTGTTTCCTTCCCGCCTCTCGTTGTCCCCTCTGACTCGGGGGCGGGGGAGGCAGGAGGGGACCACGGAGCTGGCGCGCTGGGGCGAGAGACGCGCCGCGTGGAAGCGGAGAGGGACACCGGGAGAGGGGGACCGAGGCCTGCGGCGGCCGGGAGCGGAGGGGCCGCGGGTGGGGACCGGGGAGACGAGACGCGGGCGACGCGGATGCAGGAGCGGCCGGGAAAGCGGCGGGGAGGGCCGGGAGGTGCGGGAGCCGCCGGCGGACAGCGGGTTAAGCGTCTCCGCCGCGGAGCTTCCGGATGTGACCACAGAGGAGGGAGAGCCCGGGAGGGGAGGGAGACGGGAGAGGCCGCCGCCGGCGTCCCGGAGCCCATCGTCCCTCCGCCCCCGGCCCGCCGCCCTCTCCGCGGCGCCTCGGTCTGTCTCCGGCGGGCTCAATTCACCCAGGACGCGCGGGAAGGGCTGGGG